GAAGTTTTTAAAAATGGTTCAGTGACACAGCAGTGTCCCCTACCATATTATTTAGAACTGCTAATTAAACATAACTTATGGTCACCAGAAATTCCTGCCAACTATTGCAGAGAGAACTAAGAAATTCTCTTTGCTGCAAAAGCATGGGAAAGATCTCTTCAAACACTAATAAACATACACCTGCACAAGCAGAGTCCCACTTTCAAAAAACTTTCTTCTCACACCTGGCACTGCTGTTCCAAGAAAGGATTCTTTTACGCAGTGTGCAAGGAGCCAATCCACACATAGAGTTAACTGCTTTTGACATGTCTGCACAGAGATGGGTGCTGGATGGTAAATCTACAAAACCAGCACACCTGGTTACAGCCAAGAAGCATAATTATACTTTCAAAATACATAAGTATTCACTAATCTAATTTCTAAATAAATGCGTACATAATAGCTATTGGACAATCTTTTGCCTGCTTTGATTTAAAGGTACAGTGTATTTAAGTTTATTGCAGATGTTCAGTGGGTAGCTGTCTTCACTTGGAGATGGGTAGCCTAAGCTGCAGAGGTGTGGTTTTCACGTTACAATGACTGAAGTTCATCTAAAGTGCATGATTTCAGCTGATTTAGCCAATTTGAGTAAAACTTACAGTCCAGTGGTGAACACAGTATCTAGACTCTAATTTGAGGTGCCTGTGCTATGGTAATCTCTTTACTTGTTTCAAAACTATTCTGCAAGACCTTGCAATTTCCCATTTTGTAGGATCACAGAATGTCCTGGGTTGGAAGGGACCTTAAAGATCATCCAGCTGCAATTCCATGCCATGGGCAGCAACACTTTTCACTAGGCCGGGTTGCTCAGAATCCCCAAAAATAAAACACAGAGATGTTTGCTTAAAATAAAAGAAATACACAATACAGAGATGCTTTGACCCAGACTTACCTGAGTCTTTATAGTATTTATTGTTATCTTCTGTTTATTTTTATATTCTATTTCTTGTTGTCTTTTATTTGAGTCACTCTGCAAAATAGTTTCTTAAACTATTCATCTTTCATCAGTATCAGTGTTACAGCCTTGAGAAAATACAATGTTGTGTCAGGAACACAAAAGAAATCTTTTGTCCCCCAAGTGAAAGCATATGTTATTTACCACAATCTTACAAAGAAGTTTCAGGTATTGGCTTTCAATCTAGCCCTAAAATTGATTTATAGCATTTTAAAGAGACTGAAAATATCTAGGCCCACCTGAAACTCCGAGGAGACTGTTCACCCCTAAACTTAAAAAGTTAGTTCAAATCAGAGAGACTGCAGAACTTGGAGCCATTTTAAAAAAAATTATTTTCTAATTCTAAAGGAAATTATGTTTTAAATGTGGTGACAGAAGAGTCACTCTTATGCTTCCTTTACAGTTAAGACTGTTATGGTTCATAAAGGCTGTATGCTAAGCTGGTGAAGTGGATATGCTTTTGTTTTAATTTTGCTACTGTTCCAAAGAACTGCAAAGACATTACTATCAAACATTAAAAGGGTAACAGCTAAAAAAACACAACCCCCAAACTAAACCCCAACGAGCTATCCTTGCAACATTTAGTAAAGCTGGATATTCTAACATTTGCCTTGACTTTTTTCCTATTATTTTGAAGGATCCCTAGTGACAGAATAGATTTGGCTACCTCTGGTATGGCACTTTTTCAGGAGTTCAAGAATGAAATCACTCTAGCAGCACGTAATAAATTTTATCAAACATCAATGTAAATCCAAAACACAGGTTTTTTCATAAATTATTTTTCAAGACAGATTTCATAGAATGTTTTTAAATGATGAATAAAGAATAATGACAAGACCGTAAACATATCTCCAAGTCATGGCAGTGATTTCCAAGGTTTTTTTTCTGAGTTATTTCAGAACATTTCAGGGCAACAGTGCTGGAAATGCTTTAAACCTCTGCATGCCAATAAATCAAGCAGATGTAATCCTTCTACTGCAGATACAATGAAAAAAGTACTGCAGTGTTTGAATAAAAAGCACATCCATGTGTAAACAGTTTTCTAGAAATAATGACCTTATAGCTTATTTCCACAGGTTACATGGTTCCACCCCTTTTTTCGTTCTGCAGATTGGCTAACACATTCCAAGACACTGACAGACTGCAACACATTTCCTATAAAGAGAATATTTAAGTATGAAGCACATACTATTGGTAGTTGATAGTTAAATTAAAACACCAGAAAGTGCTGGGAAGGGAAAACAACGCTTTGCCAATCTTACAGACTTTTTGTCTTCAGGGTCCATTATAAGATCTCAGAACCAAATCCAGAATCAAATCTTCTAGCTTTATATACTGACTTAATGTACTACACCACATGGCAGTGACCCAAATCTTCGAGGAAACATGAGACTGATATATTTTTATTATCTCAGTTTGCTAAAATTATGTCTTTATCCATTATATAGTGCTGTTATGCCACGATATAAGTATGACAACCTCAACCTTCTTTAGGTGACTGTTATGAAAGGTAATCATCTTTCTTCTGAGTAAACTCAGTCTTTTCCTTATACAACTATATTGAAATTGTCTACTATTATTTTGCATCTAAACTTTATTTTTAACAAGTTATCTCAGTAAGTCACCACTACAGATTCCAAATCAATTTAGGTTTTAAGCAGAATTTTCTCCTTGTTTCCTTCAAGCTCAGTGGGTGGTTGGATTGCCATGGAAGTAAATTCCAACTGAAACTTGGAATTTACTTGAATACTACGGTGAGATCTCACTGCAGACATCACCTGTAGTGTGTAACAGGATAAATACCAAACCAAACCAAGAGACAAATTACCTTGCCTGTCACATGCTGCCGAGCGCTCAACATAGACATGTAAAATACTGCCTTCACAATTATTTTCAGCTTATTATAAAGTGTAACTTCTGAGTATTACTGCTATAAGTACTTTGCTGATTTGCATGCAAAGAGGCACACGCAGTTATTACTCCAATGTAGATTAACATTTCCACAAGCTAGTCAGAAGCATAAAGTTACTCTCAAACACAGGACAGAACTACTGTATGTTTTCACAGTTCTTCCTGCTCACTGGCCTCTACCTTCCACATCCAACTACATAAAACCTTCTGCAACACTTTTAGCAGCCTCTGCTAACCTCCTTTCTCTCTTTTATTAAGGGCACTTTCTTTTCATATACAAGTTTAACTCTCTTGAACCTCAGTTTCCTGGGCTTCAAAGCATTGTCTCTTAAGGGATGAACAGAGCTTTGCCTATGTGTGAGTGGGTATCAGGTGCAATCAAACACATGTGATTCAACAGAGGAAGGGGAATACCAGTTGCAGAAAGTGATATCAGAAGAAACAGAGAGGTCCAGTCTAATAATATGTGGCTACATGGCTGGTGACACTGTCAAAATTTTGGGGTCTTTTTTGACAATGGGATGGCCTACATGGTATGATTCATATTGGCATCAGATAGGATCTACTTTCTAAAAGATGCAGGACAGTTAGGGGAATCCACTGATAGAGCTTTAAAGCAGACCTGAGACCTCCACAACACCCTTCTCTCTTAATTAAGCTGTAGATTTGATGGGTGGATTGTTCAGTGGATAAGGAATTGGTTGGATAATCACATCCAGAGGGTAGTGGTCAATGGCTCAAAGTCCCAGTTGGCATCAGCCACAAGTGGTGCCCTCAGGGGTCTGTACTGGGACCAGGGTTACTTAATATTTTCATTAATGACACAGACAGAGGCATCGAGTGCACCCGTTGCAAATCTGCAGATGACACCAAGCTGAGTGGTGCTGTTGACACTTCTGAAAGACAGAATGCCATCCAGAGGGACCTGGACCAGCTCAAGAAGGGGATTCTCATAAGGTTTAACAAGACTAAGTGCAAGGTGCTGCATCTGGGTTGGGGCAATCTCAAACTGGGAGGATACAGTGGGAGTAAAAGTCATCATCAGCAGACCTGCCAAGAAGGACTTGGGGGTGCTGGTGAAGGAAAGGCTGGACATGAGACAACAATGTTTGCTTGCAGCTCAGAAAGCCAGTTGTATCCTGGGCTGCACCAAAATCAGCATGGGCAGGAGTGGGAGGGAGGGGATTCTGCCCCTCTATTCCACTCTGGTGAGACCCCACCCAGAGTGCTGCATCCAGCTCTGAGGTCCCCAGCACAAGAAGGATGTGGCAAGATGAGAGCAGGGTCAGGAAGATGATTAGAGGGAGCACCTCTTCTACGAGGAAAGGCTGAGAGAGTTGTGGCTGGTCAGCCTGGGAAAGAGAAGGCTTCAAGATGACCTAACTGTGGCCTTCCAGTACCTGAAAGGAGTCTATGAGAAAGATGGAGAGGGACTTTCTATAAGGGCATGTAGTGACAGGACAAGGGGGAACTGAAAGTAGGTTTAGATTAGGCATTAGGAATAAATTCCTCACTGTGAGGGTGGTGAGGCACTGGAACAGGTTGTCCAGGGGAGTTGTGGATTCCCCATCCCTGGAATTGTTCAAGGCCAAGTTGGATGAGGTCCTGAGCAATCTGGTCTAGTGGAAGGTGTCCCTGTCTGTGGTGAGAGGATTGGAGCGAGATGATCTTAAGGGTCCTTCCAGCCCAAACCATTCTATGATACCAAAGAACAGCGTGTTCTGCACCACTTAATATGGGGCTGTTCTGCCCTTCTCTGCCATGTGACAGTTCTTGAGCTAGAGAAGTTTCCCTAAGTTAGCAAAAGACCAGAGAAAGAAAAACTGCACTGAGACAAGCCACAATCTGTATGCCAATTTCTTCACTGATCTGGAAACTCAAGTCCTAGGTATCATTTGAACATGTTTCTTATGTATGTTTCTTTAAAGCTCTGCAAACGTTTTAGTGTATTAACAGTGCAAAAATCTCTGCCTTCCAGATATTCTGTAATTGTGAAGTTTATATTATAAAAAAGACACAAGATCATTTATTGCCTAATTGAAAATATTACATACACACACACACACACACACACACACACACATTCTTAACTGACCTTGGAGGGATTGAATGGCATCCCTAAATATGAAGAGCCTCTGAATCCACAGCGATGCAAGTTTGATCCTGGAAAAGATTAAAACAACATTCAACTAACTTGTTTAGTTAAAACACTCATTATAAACCATAATCCTCTACTGATATCAAGACCCACTAGTCCAACACTATTCATAATATAACTAGAGTTTGCATGTGTCTCTCAGTTTTGACCTTAGTTTGTTATCCATGATTAATTAAAAAAAAACAAAACAAAGAAAACTACAAGCAAACCTAATCCTGCTGTAATGACAAAGCACAATTTTTTTTTTAATTTGGTGAAAATATAGCCATTGGATCAGCAAAGAATTGTCTTCCATGCTCTCCAGAAAGAAAAAAAAAGGATTGCTCCCCTGGGAAAATGCCCAGAGTTAACATATTTTTTTATTCTTCCCTGGATTCCTGCCTGGTAATACCGTCTGTTCACAAGCAGAACTCTGCAGATACTCTGCAACATGTTCAAGGGCAAACAAATTGCACTTGTAAGCACATTGTAGCTATCAAACATTTCTGTCAGTGATTCAGTATAATTTGTTTCAAATGTCTCACAATACCTGAGCATGTTGCATACAGAAGTGTGAACCACATACCGTGTAAAGTACAGGCTTGTGAGGCTCAACTGTGCTTTTGCATGGCAAAAACTCAATTGTTTACTGCTCAGTCTCTGAAAGTAAAAGCCTAATGAATGCTGTAGTTAAACAGCACCTGGGTGTTCTTGAATTTCTTAAATTCTCCCCCCCTTTTTTTTTTTTAATTCTTCAGCCTTTAATCTAAAAATCCTCATGGATATTAGGGAAAATTGCACCAGACTAAAAAAAAAGAGAACAGTTATAAAGCTGAAAGTTCTAAAAAACTCACTGTATAATGTGGTCTACAAGTTCTTGTGTAATTTATCAGCATATTACCTTCTAATTCTAAATATGTTCTCCATATATGCAAAATTTAAACTGGAAAGTTTTTACTAGCCTAAGAACTTCAACTTGGCTAAAGTACGCAAGTTTCTCTACAAGACAAGTCTTTGGATCTAACTGAAATGGAGTGAAACACCTGCAATTCTCCACTTCCTCCACAGTTCAATCAAAACTACTTTTTAATGACTCTATACATGTAATGAAAGCAACTTCAGCCTTCACTAAAAGCTGATATGGCATAGTCATACCCACAAAGAGGAAAGAGAAACAGTATCTGTAATTGTGGACAAAAAAATTCATAACTGTTTTATTTTGTTATAATCTAAACATTTGCAGCAGAGAACATTTGTCTGGTTGCTTCCAGAGTCAAATACTTGAATTTCACGTTGCATCAGCCTTTGGAAAGCACAGTAAATTAAATTAAAGACTAATACAAGGTCCTGAAAGACACTGTCAAAAAAAAATCACAATTTCAAAAACGGCACAATGTGAATGAATCAGTAAGAGAAGAACTAGAATTCCAGCCTCTTAAGTACCAAATTTCCCAGGCGACATTGTGGAAAAAAATCACCATTCACTCGACCCATTTTCAATAAAAAAGAATCTGTGTCTTAAGTGCTTAAGCAACTGAGAAAACTCACTTTGAAATGGTCCTAAAGTGGAAACCCTTCATCCAGAAAAGTTGCTAGCCTACTAGCACACAGTTGTTCTGGCCTGCTGCAAAGGAAGACACACTACAATTAAGACAGCTCTGCGGTCGAACAGAGCTCAGCTGCTAGCTGCTAGATGGAAGGATTCATCCTGGAAATACTGATCCCCATCCTTTTAGACTGTAGCTTATCATTAATTATCAAGATAGAAATGGCAGCATGAAACCCAAGTGTCATGTACTTTTAGTGTGTCACCCTGATTGGTTTCTGAATTCACAGCTATTATGAAAAGAGATTAAAAATGAAGTACATGAATGAAATCAGGATCCATTACTCCCTTTAGCTGTTCAATTTTCATATAGTATTTTAAAACCTTTCTTGTACTACTAAACTGCTATCAACTACAAAACAGCATCTGTAATTTTAAAATGGATTTTAAACTATATTGCTATCAATTTAAAATCTGATTTGACTCTTTTTGTCGGTACTTCTGATCCCACATTCTAGACTTTACATACTGGCTCCTAGGAGAAACAGAAGACCAGCGTGACTCTTTAATGCCCTTACTACTAGAAGAGAAACTTTAAAGAGAATTTTATCCCCCCCTCCAATCCAGTAATGTGCATGTAATACATGCTACCTAGACCTTCAATATTACAAGAGAACTGCTGCATATCTGGTCACAATACATGAATTAAAAAATAGAATTCTGAGTTGATAAGGGAAGCATTAAAACAGGAATTGAAAAGCATTCATTTTTAACCAGATGACTCTGGAACATTGATGTCATGTCTAGAAATTTTTTTTAGCATCCTGTGAAGACACAAATTCAAAATCAAATGGGAACCAAAGAGGAGTCAGGGAAAACTACTGTCTTTCAGCTTATGAAAGAAACTTCATGACGTGAAACTTCACCTTCTGTGAAGATCGTTTTACTACACTGTTGCAAAGTACTTGTACTTCTTATTTTATGATAGCTTAGTAGTATTAGTCAAACAAATTGCCACAAATGCGCTGTCAGAATCAGAAGTAGAAATTAAATATACCCTAATTATGAGGGTGTGATCACAGTTTATGACCCTCCTAAAAAATTGCTGGAGTGACCAGTTCAGCTGCAGCACAGCTTGCTGAAGCTCAGTCCAACTGCAGCTATGAAACGGTACCACCTAGTGTCCACTTCCACCGTCGACCTAACAACCACTTTCTGAAGGAGTTTAGGACAGAGCAAAAGTAATAAACATTTCATCAATTGCTGCATAATTATTGCAAGTTGAACATGACCCACCTGGAAAAACTTTCACATTTGACAACTAAAGAAAACTGACCCTTTTTCAAAACAAAAAGACTCCATACTAAAATCAAAAGCTGAGACTTTCCTGTGAAAACCCTATTACTTATGTGTGCTTAGGCCAGAAAGTCCTTAAGAGGTAACAGAGCGTCAATGATGACCACAGATGACTTATCATAAGAGCTCTTTTTTTACAGACAGGACATTTTTGTTATTTGTGTTTTATGATTTCTCTTGCATGGGAAGGATTAATAACTTTTACCACTACTTCTTCACATTTAGATTACCCATGCATTCCTCTGTCTGCAAGGCTTTTCTCATTTTGCCAAGTACAGAAGCAAGCATACACACATCAATAAAATCTTATTACATATATAAAAAAGTCACAGCTTTAACAAAGGCTGACCCCATCAGCACATCCAGATAAAAACACGCGTAAGTTCTTCTTACTGAACTAGGGCTAAAGATGTAATCATTCCTGTAAATCCAAGTACTAGAGGATGTCATAAAATGCAAAGTTGCATTCTCTAAAATGAAAGTCCATTATACATCTAGATAAATATTTCAAATGTAGCCATTAAAAGAAAGTTATATTGGAAGAACATTCATATTTCTCCTCAAGAAACTTATGATCAAAAAGCACACAATGCAACAATAATTTCAAAAAACAGTCAATGGCATTTTATAAATTTTTTTTTAGTACTGACAACACAAGAAGAAATAATCATTATTACAAATCTAAACCTAGTCTTTGACAGAAGTAAGTTTTAGGTCTGTGACGTAGCATAATGGTTTTCAGTCTGCTATGCATGGGTTCTGTGGGTTCAGTCCTATAAATAAAACGTGTCTCAGTGTTCTTTTTGGTTCCATTTCTTAGTACAGCAAAGTTAGTGAAGCATCCAGTCGTCAAAAAGTACAATTTCCTTCCCTCTCTTCTAGTGGGCTGGCACTGGCACTCCCAGTCAACACAGCTCACCAACACAACACAAAGTTAACCTTCTGTTAGATAAATAAATACATGTTTTCCTGCCATTTCAGCAAGCTCTCAAGCAGGGTCAAACAAATGCCAGTGTTCCTATGTGGGAGGATGGTGGATGAATATGGCCAAGCAGTGTGCCTCCGCTGCCTGTAATTAGATTACTTGAGCACAAAGCTCTGGATTCACTCTCTTTTAAAAGTGCTGAACTGGCTTGCAAGAAAGTGGGATACATCTTTCTTAAACTGCTATGAGTTGCACTTTAAGATAATTATAATAAATTTGAAATTCTGTCAAAGAGCTGTACTACGAGAGGAAAAACATTAAAACTCTGACTTGATAAGGATCTTAGGAACAAGCAGCTAGGAGAAAGAGGGTCTTCTGTGAACCCTTTTCCAAAGTTTCATTAACATTTAAAAAAATACATCTTAGTCTAAATACATATAATTTCTGGTAAGGTTTGTAAAAGAGCACCACCTTCCTCAAAATGAAAAAAGAAAAAAGTACTTTTTCAAGATTCCCACTTCATGCAGTGAACACACAAACAAACCAAAAATATATATTAGCCACGCACCTAGGCAGAGCATTTCCTGAAGTGAAGGAAAGGTAACCATGGCCAAAATCTACGCAATATAAAGCCTAACTATTTAGCATGAGTTACAGAAGGCAGGGGCCCTTCAAACAAGCAGAAGGCAGCAATAAGTTGAAGCATTCGGCTAAGGATGTGTTTCTGTGTGAGAGTCAGCTTGCATATGTGACATGCCATTCCCTCCTAATTAAAACTAGTATTGAGCCAGTCTCTGAAACAGCTGAGCTAAAATTATGGTACCTAAAGGACATTATTTGTTTGAATCACAGTTGCAATAAACCCACAGAAGAATACTATCCTGACAGACCTTAATCTTTATCTTCCTTTAGTGCATTTCAATTAGGCTGACAGAGCATACATTTGCTTACTTACTCAGGTAGATCAAGATCTCACCACTTTGCATTAGTGAGCTTTAGTTTCACATAAAAATTTCAAAGACTACAAACCTCTGAAGCGAAGCTTTCTTCAGCCATAAGATACATTACACAGCAGTACATACAAACATGTTATTTAAAACTACCACAGGATATTGGGAGACCCTATCTAAGAAGTGCTCTAAACCACTAAATTCTGAATTTTCTGTCAGGTTCTGTAATGTCCCGCTGTGGTGGGTTGACCCTGACCAGCAGCTGAGCACCCACACAGCCACCCACTCACTTCCCCCTCCAGTGTCAGGGCAAGAAAACAGAGATAAGGGGAGAAAACACAGGGAGTGAGACAGAGACAGTCTGATAAATGAAGCAAAAGTTGTGGAGGGATTCATTCACTACTTCCCATCAGCCAGGCAGGTAAACAGCCACTTCCCAGAAAGCAGGGCCTCAGCAGGTGTAAGGGTTACTCAGGAAGACAAATGGCAGATCCACAAACATCGCCCCCTTTCTCCTTCTTTTCCCAAGCTTTTATTGCTGAAAATGATGCCAGATGGTGTGCAGTATCCCTCAGGTCAGTCCTCAGGTCAGTCCGGGTCAGCTGTCCTGGCTCTGTCCCCCAGCTGTATCTGCTGGGGGAAAAGGAGTGCAGAGGAGAAGAAGAGAGCCAGCCTTGACGTTGTGTAGGCACTATTCAGCAACAGCTAAAAGACTGCTGTTACCAACACTCTTTTAGTCCTAGGCCCAAAACACAGCAGCTTAGGGGCTACTATGAAAAACAGTAAATTCTATCCCAGCTACTATACATACTACAATAGTTATTGATAAAAATGAATGGGTACTAAGTTTGTAAAGCATCAACTGTTCTGCCTCCCATCCATTGGAAAAATGACTGCAAGGCAGCAGTAGTTCTAAAAATAATTTGAATTAGCCATCTGAAAAAAATGCTTTTAGCAAAAATCAACTGAAGTGCTATAGATAATTTGAGGAGAAAAGACAACGCAGAAAGAATCGTGCCTTGCAGAATACACCACCAGAGGAGTCTTTCTGCTGTGCCTTTTGCAACTGGACATGCCTATCTCGTATTGGCCTTTTTAGCCACCAACGCGCTCGTAGCAAATGTGGGTAGAGCCCTTCCCAAATCTTCGTTTGCGAAGCCCAGCCATGATGCTATAGATAACGGAACCTTTGGAGGGACAAACGTGAAGAGCAGAGAAATTTATTTATTCTGAAAAGAATTACAGAAATTCTCTTTTTGCCCATTTTAGAAATTCAACCACTGACATGACCAAAAACAAATCCCAAGATTCTGTAAAAATATATTCCAATTTAAAATGGAGGTTTTAAATTGGTTTTCAGTCCCAGAACCAAACTAAATAAAGACTTACATCAAATATGATACAGTTACTTTAGATTGCTGGAATTTGTCATTGCAGAAACTGCATTATAAAAAAGTGGTATAATTTAAATGTCTAAACCCAATATTCCACAGAAAGACAGATTTATCAGAATGAATGTTAAAAAAGCTGCAATAGTAAGTTTCTTTAAAAGCAAAGTATTGTGGTTGCTTGTTTGTTTTTTTACCCAGAAGGATTCTGATTCATCTAGCAGGCACCCATCCCTAACTAGAGATACACAAGCATTTTGAAACCAAAAACTTCATTGCTGTAGCCTACAGGAGTTTAGACACTTCTTCAAACAGGCCAAAAGAGGGAGTAAGAGCTCTGTTACTGGGAAGCTGCCAATTAACAAGCATTGCACACAACCAGGATTAAAAACCAGAAAGTCACTACATTTTGTTGAAAGTAGACATTACAGAAGGGTAGACATTCTCTTCTTCACATTTAGTGATCCAATATTCTACTTTCTGCTGTTGGCATAATTTATATTTTACACTGTCTATTTTCTAGTAGATGAAGTAAAAACTAAATAAAAATAATGCTGAAGCTTTAGGGGTCAAATGACCAAGATAAGAGTAGTGTTATTACCAAAAGCATAAGAAGAACAAGAGTTATTACAATGTGATATGAAAATACAGGATTGGAGGGAAGCTTGTTCTTATGGTAAAAAGCAGAGATTTATTATTTAGAAAGCACAGAATGCACTGCCAAAAGTACCCTCCCCAAAACTACCCTCCTGTAGTTTTATGAGGAGATGATAGCTAGAAAAAAAAGGAGCACATCTCTACTGCACCATGGACCACATCTGTGGGCTGAGATTTTTACTGCCCTCCCCAGGAGGTTCTTTACAGTGGGAATATTCCAAACATTGGCCAGGTAGAACCCCCTGAAAAACTACTGCATACTATCAATGACAAACAAATAAAAATGCCCATTTTAATCTCTCTAATCTTGCAAACTTCCCTGATCTTTTGGAATACACTTCTGAAGGCTGGGATAAAAGTCAGAAAGTGAGGAACTCCTGAAAACAAAGCATATACACAGGGGAAAAAAATTTTAATGGTAAGGTATAGGCACCTCCTCATGATTAAAATGTTGGAGGAATAATTATGTGATCCAAATTCCTAATTTTCTATAATCGGTCCTGGAATACAACAAAAGACAAAAGAAACCTATTAAAACTAATTCCTGGGGTGGATCCTGGGGTGATCTTTTTATTACTGCATAAAGAAAGCATCAGCTATCCTGACTTCCAAATGCTTACTTCATATAAATTTTTTTATTTCACAAAACTGATTTTAGAGACCCTATATATAGATTTTAGAGACCTGATTTGTAGTATATAATTAGACTAAATAATAGAAGAAAACACACAATTTTCTTTCTACATCCATCCAAAGTACATGGTCATGATTTTAAAGACAGGCACCTGGAATTACCTCTTCTCTAGACAACCACCAGCCTGGAGCTATACCCACACCAGCATTTAACACGCCTGTTGTAAAGCAGCAGCGCCTCACCCACATCTCCCTCCCTCCCACCCACTCTACTGCTGGTCACCACTCACCCGCAGTGCCACAGAAGAAACTGCCAATACCACCTAGCCCACAGGAAGAGCACCTCCCTAACTTCTGTCAAGTCACCAGGAAACAGACAATTTCCTGTGGGCTCCCTCTCCAGCTTGGATCTGTTATGCACCTTCCAATCTGAGGATAGCTGAGATACAGCAACAGCATTATTCCCTCTAAAAACCTTGGGTAAATTCAACCTTCACAGATCTAAAGAACAGATTTTATTTTCTCAAGTAGGGACTGTGCTTATCCTTTTTGCTTCTTACCCTTACACCTCCAGTTTTCCAAAAGCTGTTCCAAATAACCACACCTGTGCTCAGAGTTCCTGGTATAGGAGTGGAATTCAATATAAACACTACTAGACTTGTAATAGTTACATAACATATGCATTTCTTTTAGAACCAGGTGAAACATTCCTCTGAGATGCCCAAAGGTGCAACTTCATTATACTATTATATACTGGCTTATCTTCAAATTAATTTCTGCTTTTTCTACCTTTATTATTTGTGAGGGATCTATTTCCAAGATTTGCTTGACATCACTATCTGAAATTATCAGGACAGCACTTCAGGAAGATCAATCTTGTATTTTATAAAAACTAGAGCCATCCACTATTCCCCAAGTAGAAAGCAAAAGTAAAGATGTTAATATCGATAAAAAAACTAAAAACTCACTCACTGTCTTCAGTGGGAAGGACCTGCAGGGAATAAATCCATTCTATTATATCATCTTTGTTCACCACATCTAAGGAATCCAACATATCCAGACCAGAGAGCGCGAAAAATGCAATTGTCAACCTAAAAGAAAAAGATAAGACTTACACTTCCCACCATAAATATCACGGGGAAATTAACAAAATGTTGCAGAAACAGATTCATCTATGAATTCGCAGCCTTTGACAGTGGTGCAACCCAGAGACTAGCTCAGAAAACATGAAATGTATCTACTGGATAAAATAATGTCCTTTGTACTGTAGATATTTCTCTGTCTCAACAAGGTTTTTTATTTAAGCTGCCCCTTCTTTTATATAATAATGATATGCCAATTCAAAATTAACCTATGAGCCTGTTTACCTGAAAAAAATACCCAACAAAACAACTTACTACAAAGTAAACTAGGTTATGTTATTAATATATGGAGCACTAGTTCTCTGTGAAAAATTCTTACATGAATAATCCCCTAAATATGCATTAAGTGCATATGCAAGGTAACCCTTAACTACAGCAAGCTGCTTCTCATTGTGCCCCAAACCCAGTTTCAGACGTTTAGAATTCAAGTGTCAAACAGCAAAGCCTACTTTGTAAGCAAACAATGCAAAAATATGCACACAGGATGAATTAACATCTAGAGCTATTTATTTCTTGTCCTTGGGCATAAAACAACCTAGATGACTACCTTTTTTAAACATCTAGAATTGAGTAACCAAATTCAAGTATTCAATAGAGTAGTGGAGAAGCTAGGACACCAAAAGTCCTTCTTTCACACAGTCTGTCTCCTTCCATAAACTTATCCTACCAAATCTGCTAACTAACACTTTTTTTGCAGGGTTTGTTTTTACCTCAAACCACTGCAGCCACCCAACAAACAGTATGGCCCTTCAAACAGCTGCACTGCTCACTCTGACAGAGCACCAAAGCCACACTACTCTCACAGAGTTTGCTATGAGAGAAAACACTCATGTAATGGTACCTTGGAAGCCCAAAGTTCTGACTCAGATTAAAATTAGCTAGATGTATATTTTTGCCACCCACACTTGTGTCTGGCTATCCTCCTAGAAATTCTTGCTCTCCTTTCACCAGATAAGACGAGGGATTGTGAAACAACCTGTACATATGCAGAAACTACAATTCAGCATGTCAAGGAAAACCAAAAGTTAATAGCAGCTTTCCTTAGCAGATCAAGTTGTAATTTGCATTTTCCTCACAAGGTGGTGAGCCACCTTGGTCACCAGCAGTAGGCACCTCTGAAGAAGAGGAGACAGATGTGGATAGGCACCTCTACAACCACCTAATTTCTGCATGTGGTTCTGTATCAGAACTCCAAACAGTAAGACCAAGGAAAAAATGGTGATATGACTCAGCCCAAAACACAACTCCATAAGAATTATTCTAGTTAAAACACAGCAGCCAAATGACAATGAAGGAGACACTAATCTCAGCACAGTGGCATAACCTCCAAGTGACATTTCTACCAGTGGGCTGGTAAAATGTTTCTTTACATTTATTATTATTACAAATCCATTTTTTGAGTAGAAAAAGCTAAAAAAAGTATGTTGTACAAAAAGGTACTTCTGTGTAGAGCAAGAGTATCTTTTAACTCTTCTGATACAAAAAATTGTTTTTGAAAGTGGAAAATTAACACTTCAAGGCTTTTATCAACTATTGTATTGATCAGATCTGTTTAACCCAAAATCTGACCCTGGATAATAAACGACTAATTCAAACAAAATCACTACTTTTATTAAAAAACTCCAAGGAATTTACTGTTCAGCTACAGGAAATTATTTATTTGAAACACTGCCTATATGTTCTGATTTTCATGAACACTGACAGTCTTCTACTAGAACTACTTACAAAACATTTTCACACTATTTTACTCAGCTGAGCTACTTCCAGTAAGGCACAAACAACATGCCAACATCAGCACTAGAAACTGCTGCAAAGTAGGTCCCAAACCACAAAGCTGTGCATACAATACAGACAGTAAATCTCATCTATAGTTAAAAATATATGTCAAATATATGAATTTAAAAAGTGGTTTTACCTGGGCTGGGCTTCACTTTACTTATTCGGAGTTGATTGTCTCCAGCATTACTAAGGAACAGCCTGTGTCTGTTGGAATTTTCTTGTGATGGGCAAGAAGATCTGGCACCACTGGACATAGAGAGGTCCCAATACAGCCACTTAGATACTGCATCCTTACTCCATACGCTATCCTACTTCACAGAAACTTAACAGGCATATGTTCCTACAAAAACAACTCTTAGCAGCATCTTAGGCGACACATGCCATGAAGAGTAAGAACTTTATCTACAGTCATTTCCATAGAGGACGGTCAACAGGACATCTCTGATGACATATTCAGACCTCTTTATCTTCAGCCATGAACAAAGACTACAGTTTCTCAGCAGAGTTCAAAAAGCATTTGAAATGACTGATCTGAGAAACTGATTAGCTGTGCTACAAGGAGCACCATGAAGTACCACAATTTGAAGGACTTCAGAGACTAGGAGTTGACTTTCCTGCAAAACCTGGTACTGGCAATCTATGTATGAAACACTGTCAATCAGAACACTTAAAAAGCACTCTTGCTGCAACTACTGTTGCATGCAATAACTACAGACAAAAATAATTATGAAGGCTTTGAGCCAAAAAGTAGAGTAAAGAACACTAAATGAATTTTCTTTATTCTCCCTTATTATTTGACAATCTACAGCCTAAGTCAGAATGGACCAGCAGAGTGTGGAAAATTTCAGTCTCTACCACCCGTGTCTGGCGATAACAAATGCTGCACTGCAGTGAACAAAAAACATCTCACTGACAAATGATTTTATTTATTTATTTAACGTATCTTTAATTTAATTGAGTTTCCCCTCTAATTCACAATGGAACCATGCAAAGGCAGGAACAGGGGAAGCAAGAATAAAAAGGTTAAAAGCATTTCCTTCTGCAGCAGTATCAGCTCCAGAGGTTTGCTTAAGGTTTGCTGAATTCAGTGACCTTGACCTTGGCAAAAAGGCAAACTTAGTACCCTCGAGGTCACACTGGGGATGATGCATTTATGGTTTAATCCCCCCTTTTGTCAACAGTCATGCATGCACACCTGCAGAACACTGATCTAAAAATCACTGTAAGAGAACCAAAAAATCTGTAGCTGGGTAAAAACTTCACAACTACAAAAAACGGGTGAATTTACATGGCCATGATTTTTATTCCAATTGAAAGCTTAGACTGTGCTCATTAACCAAAAATTAAAGCATCATGAAACAGTTTCAAATTGATGGTTCCAATTTTCAGAAAACAAGTGTTTTTCCACTACTGCACAGCTATGACGTGCAACACACTAGGCACTGGTTATTCAAGGTACTGAGGCTACTATGACCACACATCAAATTAAAGCTCAGACATCTAATTAATTTCTCAAGAGTTCTCAAACAATCATTGTTAGTATTATTCAGTAAGATTGTGGAAGACTTTTTGTAAACTGGAACTTCTGTTTCAGATCAGTGGCAAGCTGCAAAAAGCTTGACAATGCAATCAGAGCCTCTCACTGATCTCACCTTCTGCAGAACACAGGGTTTCAGATGAGATTCCAAGGACCCTGACAAGCCAAGTCCTCAGTGGAGACTCCATCACTTCACTGGGCAAGCTGTTCATGGTTAACTGCTTCAATGGTGAAGAATATTATCCTACATCCACAGAATTCTTTCTGAAGCACCTTATTCCCGTGGTCTCGTGCCCCATCACCATGGTCCCTTCTAAAAAGCACACCTCCATCTTTCTCTGTAGTTAGTTTCTCAGTAACAGAAGACTGTGATCAGATTCTTCCTCTTCTAGACCAAAGACATCCCATTTCTTTAGCATTTTCATATGTCAGTGGGCTAAGATTAGCTATTTGTTATCATTCTAACACATCTCCATGTTATTGTACCTTTAAGGTCTAAAACCTGTTAAAAGTATAGGAGGTCTAGACTTCCTCTTGCTGTCATCTAAAATAACTGAGAAAGTACACTGAAATACCAAATAATTCTTAATGAATAAATTATTTGCAGCTCTGAAATAAAAAATTCACAAAATTACAGAATGGTTGGGATTGGAAGGGACCTCTGGAGATCATCTAGTAAAACCCTCTCTCTGCTAAAGCAGGTTCACCCAGAGCAAGTTGCACAGGATCATGTGCAGGCAAGTTTTGAATACCTCCAGGGAAAGAAACTCAACAACCTCTCTGGGTAGCCTATCCCAGTGACTGGTCACCCCCACAGTGAAGAAGTTTCTGCTCGTATTCAGATGGACCTTCCTGTGTTTCAGATTGTGTTTGTGGCCCTTTGTCCTGCCACTGGGCACCACTGAAGAGTCTGGCCCAATCCTCTTGCTGCTCATCCTTAAGATATTTGAATGCATTGATAAGATCCTCTCTCAGTCGTCTCTTCTCAAGGCTGAACAGGCCCAGCTCCTTCAACCTTTCCACACATAATAAATGTTCCAGTTCCTTAATCATCTTTATAGCCGTGTGCTAGCCACTCTCCACACACAACCTGGCACTACTTGTGCTAGTCCTTACATGGTTCTGCCAAGTGTTTGTGCTCTCAACTGAAATAAAGCTTGATTCAGCAGGGCAACCTGATCAAAGCCATTGAGCATTCTTCACAGAATGACTTGCAGAAGATGATACTGTGAAAAGAATCTGATGATTTTATTGGTTGAATAATATATCAAACCATCTGCATATCTCCACGTTTTTATCAGGTAAAGCTTGACAATCAAGTTATTGATCTTCTTGTGCCTCAGATGTAACCAATTACCTTACGTGAAGACTTCAAGAACATGAAGTAAGTACATTCTCAAGTCATTACAGGGACAAATGTCCCTCTAATTCATAACATACTTCACTGGTATTTTATCTCTTATACTAACAAATGAAGACTTAAAATATTTCTCTTACATGAACAAGAATCTTATGCGTGTTGACCCAGAGCAACAAAAAGCTTAAGTAACTTATTTTAAAATGGCTTCCAGGGCGGATTAAGCAACGGACTGAAAACCGATTAAAAGGATCAACAAGTCTTCCCGCTGGGATATTGAGCAGTTTACGCGAGCAGAGACTACGCCTCTACATCAACCCGGTTTTTTGGGAGCCTTCTGCCAGTGGCCGGATTTACAAGGACGCTTTTCCTTCCGGCCACGGCGGGGCTGCTCCCTGCCCACGGCCGCGGGAGGCCAGGCAGCCTCCGGCAGGGACTTCCCGTGGAGGCGCCCGCCCGGCGGGGAGGGGGTGAGGGCGGCATCCCGGCACGGGCGGGGGGCGCCGGGCGGGACACGGCGGCGCGCCGCCCGCCCGAAGCACGAGAGCCCGTCCCGCTGCTACCTGCTGGTCTCCAGGGACGAGTAGCGCTCGGGCAGGATCTGGAGGCAGCGCTGGAAGAAGCGCACGTGCCGATCCCGCAGGAAGTCCAGCCGCTCCGGCTCCCCCGCGCACGGCGCCGCCGCCATCTCCATCCCACCGCCGCTGCCCGCGCCCGGCGCGCCCGGACCGCGTCACCCGCGGGACCCGCCCCGGGGCGGGGAAAGGGAAGGGAACAGGGAAGGGGGAAGACGAAAGAGAACAGAGGAAGGGGTAAAGCGGAAAGGGAAAGGAAAGGGCGGGAGCCAGTGTGACGACCCCCCCACACCCTGAAGGGATTGTCCCAGGCAGCTGTGGGGAAACGTGCTTTTAATGCCAAGGGACATCACGCCCGGCCGGTCCCACAGGCGGCATTGCCAACCCGACACTCTCAAAATGCAAAGGGAATACACGTCATGTGTCAAGCCAACTCTGTGCTGGCTCCCGAAAAGTGCTGGCTGCTGCTTCCTCTTGCGGCAGGGACAGGCTGGGGCGCAGCTATAGCCCTCCTCTCCAGGCTGGGACAGCCCTGACAACAAAGCAAAAAGGCATAAAGAGCTCGTACATTAACTGCACCTCTGTCAGGCTACACGTCCAGGGCTCCCTCCTCACCTGTGAGTAACACGTAACAGTGGTTCTGAAGCTGCTGGTGCCATCTCCTTCCTACGTTCTTCCCAGCCCTTGGTAGCTTTGTGCAACTCGGATCGGTCTCTGGTTACCTGAATCTCGACCTCAGAATGAAACAAACAACCCCCCCAAAAATTGATCTTTTTCCTTGATCACAGGAGTTACATTACACTCCTCGGGTCTTCATCACAGAAACAGGTGCAGAGTAAACATAACAGAGCTGGCTAGACAGAACGAGACATTTCCCTCCGTACAATCACAGGGAATGGGTGAAACATGAAATCAGTAAGAGGGGCAACAACTGCTTGCTGTCACTAAATTTTAGTAATTTAAAGGGTTAAACTCTTTCAAAACCCAGTGTACTCAAAATGCTTCCAGAAGCCAGTCTACTTATTTAACCAATAATAGAAAACCACTTCAAAAAATAAAAGCCAGCACCCATATTGCAGCATTCTATGACCTATAGGCTTTACCCAGGTAAATACTGCTATGAGATAAATAAATGCTCATCTTTCGTTTTGTTTTTAAACACAAGAACAACTATGCCTGCTGCATTTTTGTCTCCTGATAACAAGAATTACTTTATCAACCATTTAGATAATTAAAAACCATTGCTTTTTAGATCAATGAAAAAAAAAAATTGTTTAAACCACCATGCTGCACGCACCTCAGATTACAACAAACAAAAAGTTACCTTCTCTCTCAACTTTGCCAACTTTTTTTCTTTTTCTTGTTCCTCTATTTCTTTAGCTTGTTTCTGTAAAACCCTTAGCTCCAGTTTATGTAGATCCTGAAATATAATTAATGGAAAAGTAAACTTTTCTTTGGAAGTAAAACAAATGATATAAAGATATATATGTAGCCTTTTTACAGTTAATTATGTTTTGTTTTGAAATTATTGGCATAGTACAGGAAGTTTCACTAGGTAGCTACTTGCTATAGCTTGTCCTGCACAAACAAATTATAGTTACGTGACTTTGAAAAAAATGGAGTAGTTTAAACTCTTTTTATAGAACTCTAGTTTGAATGCTGACAGTAATATCAGTTCTCCAGTAGTGGCACTTATGCTGATATGGGATCTAATTTTACCTAACAGCTACTGAAAGCTGCGAGGATATTAAAATACCTCTTTTTATCTCATCTGCATCCAACACTCAGGTCCTCTGACGTTTTCTATAGCACAGAGGACAACACAGCCCAAGTACTTTTTCTCATTTTTACACCGAAGTAAATAAAACCACTTCTATATGTAGAAAGAAACACGGGCTTGAGTAATCTTGTAGAATTTAGATATTGAGGAAAAGGAACACCTGTGTCTAAAATCAAGTTTCATACTATTTTTTGTCTGCAATAGATGCTGTTTTCATAGTGAATCAATTATGTGTATGAAACTTGGATTTTAAAAATGTTTAACATGTATATAACATATGCATAAATGAAGATGTAATTACGCACACGCTCTTGAAACCTAGAAATTTTTTCTGCAGCAATTTTCTTCCCTTCCTCCTTTTCAGCTTCCTCTCTCTTCTCAATTTCAAGCTTTTCAAGTTCCTCCTTTACTTTCTTCTGCAAGGTATTCCTTTCCAACAGTAACTTCACGTGGCATTGGCGCTCTTTTTCCTGCCTTTTCTCTCTCTCTTCTAGTTTCAGTTGTGACGCTTGTTCCATTGCAAATGCTGTTGCTTTCTGTTTCTTCCATGCTTCAACTGCTGCTTGTTTTCTTTTTCTTTCTTCTTCTGCTTTTTGCTTCTGAGCTTCTTCATGCTGTCGCCATTTTTGCTTGAGCATTTTTTCTGATTTCTCTTTCTCCTTCAAGTTTCTTTCTTTTTCTTCCTGCTGCTTTTCTTTCCACTTCTTAATTGACTGCAAGAGACCGTCAGGAAAAAAATCCAAGGTTTTAATGAAAATTTACAGATTCATATTCATTCAGTCTGATGGAAACATACTGCAGATAGGAATTAGAAGTTTACTTAAGGCAAAACTTAAGGCAAAGAAGCACCTACATATGTTTTCTCACATTTTTTTTTCTATTTTATGGATCACGTGGGCAGGTTTAATAAATGTCTGCTAAACCTGTTTCAGTTACAGCAAGTATAATAACTTTGGGTAGTTATGAATGTTGGTGTAATATGCTTTTTCAATATAAACACATTTCAGTTCCTATTTTTCTCAAATTAACAATTCAACCTATTATTTCATAATAGTTTTTATGTCAGTGCATCCTTTATTACTCAGATCGATAGTTTCTGAGAGAATCATAATTCTGTATGTCAGTCTGGTCTGGCATAGGTAGATTGTCTATAGAGAGGGACCAACATTCTTAGGGATAAATGTAATAGGAACTGTAATTTCAGATAGGATCACTTGCTGCACCGGGATTGGTATCTAACTTGCCAGACCACTACCACCAGAAGCATTTATAACATACTTTGGCAATACACAGCCCACTTCAGTGTGTTATTAGGTCTATGCTTATTGGTAATTATTTATTAAAGACAAGTACTTTTGGCAAGTTGAGGATGCCAAAGACCTCAGTTATATACCAACAGAAATCCATGTAGCACTACCACCAGAGAGGCAGATACAAAAATAAGAAATGTATGTATTTTAAAAATAAGTACTTTTTCTTAAATCTCCAAAAGCCCTAGAGGGGTTATTTTACCTCTTTCTTTCTTTCATGTAAAATTAGAAATTCTTGATACCATTTGTCATGCTGTTCAATATCTTCTTTTGTTCTCCCACCGAGATACTGAAGGGCTTTATCCATGTAAGACAGCCTTCCTCTGTATTTAGTCCGTACTTTCAGAAAATTTTGATGATCATAATCATCCCAGCCTCCTTGCCGCCCTCCCGTTTGCTGAAGGAATCTTTCAAACTCTACTACTTCTTTGGGTAGATGATTTTCCAGTGTTTTATCAACTGTAACCCTGGCTGATGGTAATTTCAGAACTTTTTCTGTTGTTAAGCTGCCTAATGCCCACAGTTCCACTTTTCTCTCAAAGAGATTGAGCTCATTAATGGTAGCTTTTTCCTCTTTCAAAAGCTGTTCATATCTGAAAGTGACAAACACTGCAATGTAAGAAAAAAAATCCAGTATTCATTGTCCATTCACCAAAAATGAATTTTGGAATTGTTCAATGCCACACAAAAGCTATTCTTCAAAGATTAAGAACTGAAGTGGTAACAGCACAGTTGTAATGATCTGATAATAAAGCACTACACAATGAGAATTAAGTTACCCTTTTACTGAAAGCAGCCATTTATGGCACTCATACAACTAACTCAATCCCCTCCTGACACCAGTAGAGAGGAAGGAAAATCCCCACAAACCCACTCAGAAAACAGAACAACAGTCATCAACAAAACCCCCACAATCTAATGTCTTCTGCAGCCTTTCTCTAAAAAGCCTTTTCTTAGGCAAATGGTTGTTACATTGGAATGCTGGAATAGTCCGTCTGAAACAGAATTTATCAGGATTCTAACATTATAGCTCGTGCTTTGATTTACGTACCACAGGAATCACTAGTAAAAGAGTAAATCTAAAGAACAGTTTGCTGGACTAATGCAAAGTTTTCACTGTGTATTATGAAAGCACTTTTTCTTGTAGCTGAAGCATGTATAAACATACATTTGCCTCTGTTCCTCTTTAAAAGCATTGATTGCGTTTTCAGTTTCTTCCATCATTTCCTTGAGCTTGTCAACAACTAAAAGAGGAAAAGAAAAAAAGCACATAACTTAAGAAGTCTACAGTATTTACCAGCACTATCCAGAAATGCAGAGACTTTCAGGACACGTATTTCAGTGCACAAAAAAGCATGCATTTCCATCTCAAAGAGCCTTAAAAGACAGACTCTTATTTATTCAAAAAGTGTGTTTATGCAGTGACTTAGCTAACTAGATGCAAATCCCAGTATAAATGTTTATTTCCATTAAAGAAGTCTCATTTTGACTAACTGATTGTCTGAATAAGACAGCCTTATCCCTAAAGAGTTCTGCTTTTGTTTTTTTATAACAGTTTATAAAGAGTTTATGCAGTTACTGACTTAAACACACTCAAATCTTTGGTTTATACCAGGCTGTAGCAATCCTATTTAGCCTGCAGGTCACTACTTTTACAAAGCTGACAAAAAACCATCAAAGTAAGACTGTCCTGTGCTCTCAGCATGCTGTAGTCCTGACTTTGAGAAAGAAGGTAAGACAGTTTTCCACAGAAGACTGCTTTTGTAATGGTAGAAAAAAGTTTTAGAATCTGTTTTAAACCAGCATAAATCTCTGTGGATACATACTGAACACATAGTTTAACTAACATGGGTTTTGGTAAACTTTTATAACCTAAAACTCTTATTTCAGCTTTCATGCCTTGCTAGTTCTTGGTATCTTCACTGACATCTTAAGAAGATAATAATTTCTTTTTGTAGATAAACACTGAATAAATGAAATGAGATGCATTTTATCTAGCATCAGAAAGCCCTCAGCTAGTAGGAGGGCCTCAACTTAAGCTCCACACAAGGTAGTAGAGTATCACAAGCAAATGGTTCTT